TTCCATTTTATCATCACTTTCCCGCTATAAATCGAGTGTGAAAGCCGCATAGTTATTTCGGATTTCTCAACCACTTGCAGTCAAATGTAGTGCCATGGCAATCACTCTATGGAGAAGTAATATGGACTATAAAATGAATCTAGTAATCCAGTAACGCCATAAAAAATTAAAGTTTCTTACTGATTGAGGCTCATTACGACATAAGCAGAAAATATGCTTGTGTGAATTAATAAACCATAAAATTAAATCACTTAAAGGTGTATAAATGAAAAGTAAATAGCATGAAGAGTTCATTTTTAAACACAGTTGATCATGTCTTTTAATAAAGAAATGGTATGTTTTAGCGCCAAATTAATTAATCGGCCCTAAAGGGTACCAGTTAATATTTATTTATTCGAGCCATTTTTAACACAAACGATCCAGCTTTTCATTATTTCGGAAAATAGCGATATTGAACTCTCGCCAATTTCGACAATAGTTGCAACTTTGCTTTTTCTTACTAGCTAAGCTGAATTGGTTGTAGTTAAGCAAAGCTTGCACTACATAATCTAGACATGCCATAAACTGGTCAATGGATTGGAAACAAAAAAGAGTGATCATGCGATCGCCTAGCATCTCATACAAACATGACGATATCCGTCAAATAATGGAAAAAAACTCAGCTATGATTAATCGGGGTTGCAGAGCGGTGCACCGAGGACCTATTTGCAAAAATCTACAGTCAGTTCGGACAACTTACGAATCCCGTCTACTCATCTTTGAAATTGAATTTTTTTACTAGAACTATGCATACTGTGTTAGGCTGAGGAGGAGCCTCGATACACTAATTTCATCTTTACTATTCATTGCAGTGCTCTTTCATATCACAAAGCATCTAAGATTAGCTGACTATCTCCTACCTTCAAGGTTCTTAGGCCAAATAAAGAACCCAAAATATGAGTGATCATAATTGTGCTAACTCGAATCTTAATTACGCAAAACTTTGAAGCCGACCAAAGGGTCTAAGTTTGAGAAAAATAAATAATTATTTGTTTGGTGAAAAACTCACTCGCTTGACAGTGATGGGCCTTTGGTCCCCAACAGAATGCTCTTCCATGCAGTCGAGGACAAGATTCATGACAGGACCTGTAGCGACGATCTTTTACTGGCGGCGAGACTGTACTGACCTCCTCTATTCTTCTGTCTGATCTACGAAGCTTTTCAAGATGGCTTTTACTTACATCATTCTTATTGTATAATCCATTGGTAGTATTAACTTGCATTCCAGGTACTATTTCTTTAGCATTTTTGATCGCCATCGTCCGATCTTCGGAGAAAGGTTGATCAAGAGGAGCTCCAATCAGTTCTTTTCTATAGGGGATAGACTTTTCTGAAGAGCTGGAGAATAGTGAAGTTGAAGTGCTAGGTGTGGTTGTAGAAAGAGTATTTGTGACAGGGATAGCTTTGGTCTCGGACGCTAAAGAGGATAAGACAGGATATATGTGGGTTGTGGTAGAGGAAGGTGCAACAGGTTCATCATGATTCCACTTAGGACTGGTAGCAGTGATCAGGGCCGCAGAAGTCCGACTTGCTGACGAGTTCCAGTTAGCCTCGTCTGTTGTTGCCAGCTCCACATTCCTCGTAAAGCCGGACTCAATGGAGGGACTCAGATCTGCCGAGGTGACATATGATTTTGTTGATGGTGTGATGGTTGACTGGGTTGATGTGTCCTCAACCGGTACCACATCCAGTTTGTGTTCCAAGTCTGTGGTTTCGGCGGCAGCCAACGAAGCATCCATCTGGGAGGTAGGTCTGGAAAGTTCATGTGTTCCATCAGTTCCAGCCTCGGAAGAGCTGAGAGACTCTGAGCTGCCTAGGCTCGGAGTGTCTACTGTGCAATGTGGCGCAAAGAAAAGATTTGCAGTGAATCGTTAGCCTCAAGAACCAAAAGAAGCACAAAATAAAGCAAGTCCGAACCTTTCGGTTAGGCGAAATATGCGTCTTGAAATTACTGGACAAGTCTCGAGTTCATGTGCCGAGATGTTTGGCAAAAAGCAAAGTAATATACTTAGTGTAACTGGGAGAATATTCGCAGGTCCTCAATGAGACTACAGTCTAATTAGAAATATACAGATTTTGCATATTTAGTGATTACAGTTTGGTATTACTTTGAGGAAAGTAGACAAGTCTTTAGCTTGTTGTGTGGCTTTATTCAATTGTGAGTATTTCATTCTGGGCTCTTTGCATGGGCCATGGCAACAAAGTTATCATTCCTTGCACCAAATTTAGTCTTTGATATGAGGCGCTAATTTCAGAAGGATTCATGTAACACATTTTGCCCAAGACCATCTTATGCATAATGTAGGGCTTCCTTACGGAATGATACCAGAAGAGACTGCAGGATATTCTGTATGTATGATTGTGCTAAGAAATTAGTTGGAAGCCTTGTCTGCTTTCTGTCCAGCGCTACTTATTACGAAAAATGAATTCTGACTCGAGCGCTCCTACCGGATATTACGGCTACTGCTAGTATCATCATTTCTTTCATTTATGGGCCAAATATTGGTGCTTCAGATCCGTATGACTTAGTAATAAATGGTCCTCTACGGGCCAAGGCAATATGAGTATTACATAAAACAAAATGTGAAATAACTTTCCCTTCTAAAGGTAAATTTGGTTGGGCGAGATTCATGAAATTGTATCACTAGAAGACAAAAGAATAGTGCCGCGAATTGAAGACTTTTGGATTGTGCAAAGAGGTCGTCTGCTCACCGTACAGCGACCCAGACGAACTTGAGTTAAGATTTGGTATGTACCATCGTGGAAGACATCTTTAGAGCAAGAGCGCAAAAGCTATACTTAATCAAGCAAAAAATGAGGCTGACTGCAATTTGAGTCATGTTTTTATATGCCTAACCTTGTTATCTTTATGAGACATCCTATGATTCGACTGGCTACCTCAAACATACTTGACATGTTTTCAAATGAATGTCATTAATTCATGAACAGGAAGTGAATGTGGAAGCAGCTGATTTTGTAAAAACTTTATAATGCATACTTATGTTTAGGTATGTTATATTGTCTATTGTGTGCTTCATGGCTAATATCATGAAAGGTGCGATAGCCTCAAACAGACTCGAGACTAAACCAGCAGCCCTCTATTGCTCAATGTTTTTTCCTGTTCACTTTGTCTCTCACACTCTTCTTAAGCCTATCCAACAAACACAAATAGTTTTCGAGGCTACCAGCAGACCAGATACATGAGATATATTTATTTGATCTGGTATAAGGATACAGGTGGACTGAAAGTTTAATTTTCCCACAATGCATTCCTAAAAATAATATGAGATGTATTCACCCAATTTCGTTTGAGATGATGAAGGACTGGTAGAAGAAGAATTTTCCCATAATGATATGAGTTTAACTGACGTTTTCATTCAATTTCACATGGCCTTGCTTTCCCAAAAGTTGTTCTTATTCAGGGTAAATCCCTAAAAGTGGTATTTAAATTCAATGGAAACGTTAGCTCAACTCATAGCATTGTGGGAAAATTCTTCTTCTATCAGTCCTTCACCACATTAAACGAAATTGGGTGAATAAATCTCATACTACTGACTTACTGTTAGTCACAAAAACAATACTTAATTCCTAAAAATAGTTTATAGTCAATTTTCTATATTAGTTCTTTCTATTTATGATGTTGGCTGTTTTAATCATTTCTATGATGGAAAGACTAGGTAAAATAGACTTTCTGCCCCAATCTTACGTCTTTTACAAACTCAGAACTAAAAAACAAAATTGTATATACATAGGTAGATAGATATATTATGATTTCTCTATTGCCCAATTTGTCGAAGTAAATTTACTTGAATGTGTGCATGTCAGTATGTGTCAACATTTACACACAATTACGGTCAAAATCGTTTAATTATTTAAGCTTAATATCTTGATAGGATCGTCAAGGCTTTGTGTTATGAAAATATCACACACACAATAGATACTAGTACACATTTAAATACGAGTCAACATTAGAATGCAAATTTTTTATGAAAGCAATCAGCTGCCACCACATCAACTTCTCATCAATGAATTAACATTATTTGTCTGCAAGCACGTTAAGGAAGTTTATGGTAGCCAAACAAATCCTGTTACATGAATAAAAACTGATCTCCGAAGACTCCCTCAGTGATATAATGTGACATGACATTACATGTCAAAGGAAAAGTTGGTTAGAAAGAATTCATGAAATAGTCTCCCTCGAAACCGGAGGAGGATTGCTATGAAGTGACGACTGTCTGACTGTGGGAAGAAGTCCTCGAATCACCGTTTTGCGACCTTCATGAGCCTGTGCTAGGCTTTCGTCTGTGCTGTGACACAAATCATCAGAGCAAGAATCCATACTTTATGAAATAGAGCAAAAGCATACATGTTTTTCTCTTGGTTTAGTATAGTTTTGTTCTATTTCTTAAAGTATGGATTCTTGTTCTGATGATGTCTTCTACGATGGTACAGACGAAAGCTTAACACATGTTAATCAGTTCGTCACTGGACAGCTAGCCGAGGACTCCTTCGCACAATCCAACAATCTTCACTTCATAACAATCATTCTTCGGTTTCCTGTGAGACCATATCACGAATTCCTTCCAGCCAACGTTTCATTCGAAATGGAAAATTATGGCACAAATCATAAAATGCCTTATCAAGATCGGAAGAATGAATGTATAAAAAAAGTGACCAGGGTTTTAGCTGGCCAATTTTTCTCTTGGTTTAGTATATTTTTTGTGTTATTTCGTTAAGTATGAATGCGGTACATTCGAAAGGTTAGCACAAGATCTTCAGGGTCGCAGAACAGTGAGCCAAGGATTTCTTCGCACAATCCAACAGTCTTTACTCTGCGGCAATCCTGCTTTGGTTTCTGGTGGTACCAATTCATGACTTTCTTCTAACCAACTTTCCATTTGAAGTGAAGCGTCATGTCACAGTAAATCTCAGAGGACTTCTTCAACCAACTTTTACGTCATATCTTAGAAATAAAGCGAATATTAATTAATGAATACAAGCTTCACTTTTCGCAGCTCTCATTCCCATCAGCCGTCGCGTAGGTACGAACAACACTATCGAATCTATTATCTGCATGTTTTTCCAACAATCGTTTTGTTTCTCATGTTCTATTAAGTAAGGTCGATAGCATGTTTACCTAAGTCTGAATGTAGAACAAAGATTAAAATTTCCTTATTTATGCAAAAAACTACTACTGGGCTTTTAAGGAGCCTGTCACGGCAACAGTTCTCATAGCTTGTCACTAAACTGGACCCGTAATTGCACTGACCTATTTATAACATTATCAACCAAATGATATGCTAGCTTCGGTTCGCAAACCTGTATACAATAAATTGAGACTTTCTCACTGTCAGTTATATAGACATTCGCGATCATTGTAATATTGGCAATAAGTATGGTATATAAAATAAATAAATAAATAAATAAATAAATAAATAAATAAATAAATAAATAAATACATACATATATA